TAAGCAATTGCCCTACCCATTGGAAAACCTCTTGCCCCACCCTGTGGAGTTTATGCCTTGCTGTGGTCTACAGCCTGAGGCTCATTAAAAGACTCAGATTAATCAGCCTGCAGGCAAAGGTGGTTCTCTGGCTGCTTTGAGTCTTTGCCTGATTTGCTTCTGGATCCAGGCCTTGAAGAAGCAAATCCTGGTGAGCATCTTGGTCCTGTCCAAATGCACTCAGCCCCAGAAAAGGGAACCAAAAGCTGTGGAGTGTTGATAGATCCAAACAGGGTACTCAAGGCCAGTCACAAACAGTGCCTCTCATTGGTCTGCACCAGAGACCCTCCAGGAGTCCTAACAGATCTACCTAATACATAGAAACAAACCCAAACAGACAATCAAAATGGGGAGACAATAAAACAAGTCCCAAAGGAAAGAACATGATGGAGATAAGCAATCTATCAGATATAGAGTTCAGAATACTGATTGTAAGGGTGCTGAGAAAACATGGAAACTATGAAGGAAATTAAGAATGACACAGCAGAAATAATACATTTGAAGGAATAAACATCAGATTAGTGGAAGCTGAGGATCGGATCAGTGAATTAGAAGACAAGGTAGAAAAAAAAATCACTCAATCAGAGATCCAAAAAGAAAAAACAATTTAAAAAATGGAGGACAGTTTAAGGGAGTAGTGGGACAACATGAAACAACAATATTCAACTCATAGGTGTGCCAAAAGGGGAAGAGAGTAAGCAAAGGATAGATAATCTGTTTGAAGAAATAATGGCAGAAAACTTTCTGAATCTGGTGAAGGAAAAAGTCACACATATGTGGAACCTAATGAACAAAATAAACTGATGAACAAAATAGATCCAGAGGCAGAGAAGCATGGAACAGAAAGACGAATTTCAGAGGGAAGGCGGGGGTGAGGTGGTGGGTGGGGAAAGATTAATCAAAGAACGTATATGCATATATGCATAACCCTTGAACACAGACAATTGTATGGGGAAGGCCTCGGAGGACATCTATAATATGTTCAATAATAAAGGTAATTTTTAAAAAATAACAACAAAATAATTTTTTAAAAAGAGAAAATGATTTGGTATATAAGCCATCATGTGTGAAAAGAGATTTACAGAAAAACTTTAGAGCAGTATTTTTTATTACAAAAAGGAAAACAGCTTAAGTTTTCAAACTGATGGTACCTATTATCAAAGCAATATTAAAATTAGTATATATATTTAGTCATTAAAATTGTTTTATTTCTCTATATGTTGATAGTTAAAGACAACCATAATATATAGGTTAAATGAAAGTAGTAAATTACAACTTTTGCAGGTTAATTTATATGCTTATGATTTGAGTCAGAAAATCTCTGACCTTACTTTTATTTTTTTATTATTATTATTTTTTAATATATCTTTATTGATTTCAGAGAGAGGAGAGGAGAGGGAGAGAGAGATAGAAACATCAATGATGAGAGAGTCATGGATCGGCTGCAGCCCGCAACCCGGGCATGTGCCCTGACCGGGAATCGAACCCTGATCACCTGGATCCTAGGTCAACGCTTAACCACTGAGCCACACCCAGCCGGGCTCTGACCTTACTTTTATAAAATAACTTAGAGTAGTTATGTGTCTTTTTTCTTTTTACCTTAATATTTTTTATAATATCCATGAGCTACTTAATTTAAAGAAAGTAGAAAAAAGTTTCCTTTGCTAGTTTTATTGCTTTAAAGAATACAGGAAACAACAAACATTTTCTCATTTGACTTATATTGTCCCAGACCATCAAAGTGTGTCTAATGCTGTTGTTATATTTCCTTGTCCTTAATGGTACTATCCCAATTGCTGCCTGTATACAATTGATTGCCAAAAGTTTATAATAATATTCCTTAGTGACTTTTAACTTGGGTCTCCAGGGACTCATTTGTTGGATGATTTTATGGGTGCTTGTTACAGATAGAATACATCAATTAATAAGCCATAATATTTAGTGCCAAATATATTCTTCTAACCAATAAGTTCATAAGATCAACTAATCCTAATCACCCTGGCATGCCTAGCCCTTCAGACTAGGCCTTCTTGTATTTTAGCTAGCAAGAGAACAAGAACATATTTTCTTGGTTTAAAATGGCAAAGACCTTCTCATAGAAGAAGCTCTGTATGGTGTACAGGGCTCTGGGCATTTCCAGGGCCTTTTCTAGCTGAATAGGATTTCCTGAGAAAACTTAGCATTCACACGTCTCCACTGGCACATTCAAGTCGTGTCTCATTATGAGCATATACAAATAAACTGTTAATTGGTGCTGTGCAATAACTTACTTCTTAAGTGGTAAGTATAAAAATGTTTACAACTTCAGTTATTTCCACTGTATGTATGTATGTGTACTGGTAGAAGGGGGGAGTTGGATGGGAAATGTTATATTTCTCTCTTTAAGCAAAGAGTTAGATTTTAAAAACCAGTATGGTGAATACTAATATTTGCCTTTGATGGGAATATTCTAAAGTCCTTTATGAGATACAGTTTTTCCCCCCAGAATTATGGCTCTAGAAATCATTACCAAGCTTTGCTGGGGAAGGTGCAGAAATAAAATCTCCCACAAGCACACATAGATGCAAAAAAAAAAAAAAATCCAAGTGCTCACACAAACACACACAGCCAATAGTAGGCTGATATACTGACCAAGGTTTTATTAATTTTTATTTTTTCAAAATTAAAACACTTTATTAAGTTAAATTCTTTTTTTAAATGCAGATAATTTTATTTTATTTTTTAAATATATCTTTATTGATTTTGGAGAGAGGAGGGGAGGAGGAGGGAGAGATAGAGCCATCAATGATGAGGGAGTCACCATTGATTGACTGCCGCCAGCACCCCCCCGACTGGGGGAATAGAGCCCGCAAGCCCGGCATGTACCCTGATCAGGAATCAGACTGACATCTCCTGGATCCTAGGTCGATGCTCAACCACTGAGCAACACCCAACTGGGTTTAAGTTAAATTCTTAAAACAGAATTTAGTCAATATGAATATGTTGGCGTTATTTTTTTTACTGTGAAAATCTTTCTTTTATCTGTCTCGTGTGGCAAAATAATATTTTATACAAATAAGTCACCTAGTTTACTTTCTATGCAAAGCCAATAAAAACTAGAATGAGGGAGATGCTCCAGTCCCTCCCCCAAGAGACCATTTTCTTCAGGCAGCCCCTGCTCTACTGTAACCATGTGCAACCAAAAAGCAATGATCAAAAAAATGCTGATTTGTCAGAGGAATGTGCTACACAAGTGTTGAAGAAATATAACATAGAGAAAGATATTGTGGCCCATATTAAGAAGGAGTTTGATGTTTGCTCTTCCTGTCAGGAGCACTCCCACCCCTTTCCCTTCTCCCTCTTCTTCCCCCCAGGCAGGTTACCTTTGTCTTTCTCTCTTGGCATTATTAAATGTTATATATATGACTGAATTCAGGTAAAAGAGATGTTGTTTATGAAAGATGGGATAGTTTTAAGATTTGAGCAAGGCTGAATCCAATGTCAAGAGAACTACTGAGTGGCGAATTGAGATCATGAAAAAGAGGAAAATAGGACAGACATTCTCAATGAGAGCAAGAGTCACTATCTGATGAAGGTACTAGAGATATTAGATTTCCATCAAACTTTACCTATCCTGAACCTCAATTAGTATGCCTGTGTTTTAATTAGCAATAAAAACACACTCTTTGTGAAACCAGAGCATTCAGGTAAACGTGCATCAATAAGGAGTATAATGATTAAAACCTAGATCCCAGTGTCTCTCTGTGTGGCCACTTATTATCTAGGAAACAGTGGACATATACTATACCTCTCTCTGCCCCAGATGTCCCAATTTTAAAATGGAGATAATATGCATCTGTACCTCACAGGATGTCCTAAGATTGTATGAATTATATAGGCAATATAATTAGGCCAGTGCCATGGAACATGGCAAGAGGTCTGCAGGGGTGTATTATTAGTGATACTATATTGATTTAAAGCATAGGGAGATACAAGATGGAGAGCTTCAAAAAAGCTAGTGAGGTAGAAAGCCAGACAGTATCAGATTGAGAAATGAATGCAAAAATGTAAAAATAGAAGCAAAGGATGTAAACTTCAAGGAAATAAAAAAGGAGGAAATACAGTGTCATAGGATATTTAGCAACTTTTGTCCTTACTTTTTCTCCATAATGTGTTGTATAAATGTGTTTCAATCTGAGAGGCTAAATGAAAGTATAGTGTTTATGTTCTTCAACACAGTTCATTCACTATACTCAACATTACCTCATAGCATGATAAAAGAGTAAAACAAAATAATCAGATTGTACTGCATAGTTATTCAAGGTGTACATATAAGAGAGGTAGTGAAGCTTAGAGACATGAAAAATTACAAATTAGGATATTTTAGAATCAAAACATGTTTTGCCCTTGTAATAATCAACTATTTAAAAAGCAATCCGAAAGAAAATAAATATTTATTTCAGAGGCAATTGAAATGCTTTGTTTTAGTCCTGATTTGGAATTTATTTTAAAATTTTAACAGTTCCAACTCTTTAAAACAAAGGAATGAAACTAAAGTGAACATATTTTAAATTTAGCTTATGTGTTGAAGGAAAACATTTGGAAGTATAAAAACTAGCTATAATATAGAAAATAAAAGATAAATGTAATATAATTTAAAAATGCATAACCCAGGGTAGAAGTTAAAATGCTTACTTTGTTATAAATTAATTATAGGAGATTAATAAAGGAAAAGTTAGACTGTAATTCAATAACTAAAATTTATAAAATAAATTCACTTGGCCATAATATACAAATAGATTGGGGAGCTCATCTCAGTATAAAATAAGAAATATATTCCTCAGATCAACAAACAAAATCCATGGATGTTGGATGAGCTGAATATGAAAGAAAGTGTTAATCATTGGCTGATTTTGTCATTGAATTCTACAGTTCAAATCTCTCTGACATTTATGTGTAGGTTTGGCAAAATCCAGAAGTCAATGATGAGAAACCGCTCAGCAATAACAACATTCATCCTTCTGGGACTGGCAGAAGATCCCCAGCTACAGGTTTTACTTTTTATTTTTCTATTTATCACCTACATTTTGAGTGTAACTGGAAATCTAACCATCATTACCCTAACTTTGGTGGATTCTCACCTTAAAACTCCCATGTATTTTTTCCTCCAAAATTTCTCTTTCTTAGAAATCTCATTTACAACTGCATGTATTCCAAGATTTCTTTACAGTATATCAAGTGGAGACAGAACAATTACCTATAATGCATGTATCATTCAATTATTTTTCATAGATCTCTTTGGGGTTACAGAATTTTTTCTTTTGGCTGCCATGTCATATGATCGCTATATGGCCATCTGCAAACCCTTGCATTATATGATGATCATGAGCAACAAAGTGTGCAAGACAATAATTATCTGCTGTTGGATGGGAGCACTTGTGATTATCCTCCCACCACTTAGCTTAGGTGTTCATCTGGAATTCTGTGATTCTAATGTCATTGATCATTTTGCCTGTGATGCAGCTCCTATGCTGAAGATCTCATGCTCAGACACGTGGTTAGTTGAGCAGATGGTTATGGCCTGTGCTGCACTGGCCTTCATCACAACTCTTCTTTGTGTAGTTCTCTCCTACATGTATATCATAAGGACAATTCTAAAATTCCCTTCTGTTCAACAAAGGAAAAAAGCCTTTTCTACCTGTTCTTCCCACATGGTTGTGGTTTCCCTCACCTATGGCAGCTGCATCTTCATCTATATTAAACCATCTGCGAAAGAAGAAGCAAGCACGAATAAGGCTGTGTCCGTGCTTATTTCCTCCATATCGCCAATGCTGAACCCTTTCATATATGCTCTGAGGAATAAGCAAGTTAAACAAGGCTTTAATGATGCACTCAAAAACATTGCCATTTCCCTTAAGAAAGTAAAATGTACCTAAGCTGATATACTAACTCAAAAAATGCACATCTACTTTACATTTTTCGTAAAGCTGATAACAATATTGTAATTTCTTAGCCTATAGAGTAATCAGGCTGTTGATCTCCTAGCCATTTAATCTTTAATTTTTCCTTCAATTCACTTAATGAAGAGCTAATTATTGTGCATTGCTTAATGATGGACAAAATATGTCACTTTCAATCCTTTACCCAGAACTGATCATGATTAAGTCACGCCTTTTCTTCTTTTTTAGATGATTTTCCCAGATAATTTTATAATATTGGTGTGGAAAAGTCATTCCTAAGCAAGACAAAAATTCCTTCCTGTGTTAAAAAGAAATTGACAGCTTTAACTAACAAATTTTAAAATACATGTAACAAAATTTAAAAATTTAAAGACAATCATTAAAAAGGGAATATAGCTAAAAGAATAGTTTCATGACATGGTTAACATGAAAGACTTAATAACATACATATGTAGGAAGCACCTATGAATCAAACACATTACAATTTAATATAAACACCAGGATAATAGTTAGATATTTAATTCACTAAAAAGTAAATGAAATTATCTATAACAATAGGTAAGGATATTTAAAAAATACACCAAAGAGCAAAAGATTGAACATTCTTTTCAAAGACACATGAAATATTCACCAAGGCAACCCATATGCTGAGACATGAAACAAATCTCAAGAAGTTTAAAAGAATCAAAATAGTAAAAAATATGTCTCCTGTGAACTGCCAACTTCTATTAAGATCAATTTTTTAAAATCTGGAAAATCTCCAATGTTGAGAAATTAAGTAACATACTTTGACCTGGAGACAAGTCATGAGACAATAAAGAAACCACAACAGTGCTCAGTTCAGCAGTACATATACTAAAATTGAAATGAAACAGAGATTAGCATGGCCCCTGCGCAAGGATGACACACAAATTTGTGAAGCGTTCCATATTTTTAACATTTTGAAAATTTACATGGAACCAAAAAGACCCCAAATAGCTGCAGCCATCTTGAGAAAGAAGAACAGAGTGGNAAAATTTATATGGAACCAAAAAAGACCCCGAATAGCTGCAGCCATCTTGAGAAAAAAGAACAGAGTGGGAGAGATCACTTTGCCAGACATCAAACTGTACTACAAAGCCATTGTAATCAAAACGGCCGAGTATTGGTACAACAACAGACATATAGATCAATGGAACAGAATAGAGACCCCAGAAATAGGCCCACGCCATTATGGTCAGTTAATATTTGACAAAGGAGACAAGAGCATACAATGGAGTAAAGACAGTCTCTTCAATAAGTGGTGCTGGGAAAATTGGACAGCTACATGCAAAAAAATGAAACTAGATCACCAACTTTCACCATACACAAAAATAAACTCAAAATGGATAAAAGACCTAAATGGAAGTCATGAAACCATAAAAATCCTAGAAGAAAACAAAGGCAGTAAAGTCACAGACATCCCATGTAGTGGAATTTTCACTGATATATCTCCTAGGGCAAGAGAAACAAAAGAAAAATAAACATATGGGACTACATCAAACTAAAAAGCTTCT